CACAAGGCAAACTATTTGAATAAGGAGATCACATTCTCCCTTGGGACAAAGTTCGCTCCACTGAATCCGCATCCCGTACTACTGGATATATTTGTGGCAGAGTCCTTCTGTCACGACACACACACACAAAAGGTATAGGTCCAAGTGCAGTGTCTTTTATTGGGGTAATCCAAATCGTAGTCAGCCAGGCAAAGGTTCAAAATCCATACAAAGCTGTCCAAAACCAAGAAACCAGACATGAACAAAACTCAGAAGTGCCAGCAACATCAAACAAGGACTCGACATCAATCACAGAAACAAACAGGGTATATATACACAAAGATACTAACAAGGTGACGGCAAACAGCTGTGTGCAAAAAAATCAATGAGTGACAAACAGAATTGTTGTCTGAGTGAAGGACACCGCGGGGAAAGAGGACCTCTAGTGGACACCAGGGAACATAAACCAGACACTGTGACAGTCACTCCCTGTATAGGCTACAGTGCTACTGTGCAAAAGTCTTTGGCACGTTAATATTTTCAACAACAAAAGAGTTTATATATATAAACTTTTTTGTTGTTGTTGAAAGTATTAACGTGCCAAAGGCCTATTGGCATAAAATATTTAATTAAATAATTAAGTGAGGGAATTAAGTGAGGGAACATGCTAAATGGAAATAAATAATCTGAATCTATCTGAATGTGTCTCTTTAATTACGGCTGGACTGTGATTTTTTTAATTTAGTGCTTACACATTTATAATTGCTATAAATTGTTAAATGAACTTATTTATATTGGTTATCATCAATGAAATCGTAAAATTGGTTTGCTAAAATATCCAAACATGTTATTTAAAACACCACAAGGTGGCATGAGAGGTTTCAGAGTGCTTCCCACACACACACTCAGCTACTGTGATTCATGCCCTGTTTATCCAGATCACTTACTGGACTGAGAAATTCACACAGAGAGAAAGACTCTCTGTGTGAAGAGAGCACCCCCCTCCCTCTTTGGCACCATGACAAAATTATGAATTCCCAGGATGCCTATATGACGCTTGTCCTTGGGATGATGCACTGTAAGGATGCAACACTGATTTAGAGCAGCTCTTCAATAGAGGCAGTACTTTCTGAAGTGGATTCTACTGGACTAGACACGTCTGGATTTTCACATTACCTAGCAGCTGAAGGACTTATCTTATTTGTCTTATTAAGAAGAAATGTCTTATTTAGAAGATATGTGTGAGTGAAATCAGAATATTGCATTTAAATTATTAAATATCCTGAGGCAAAAAAGTTGTAATTTGATAAATATTATATTAAGAGTATATATATATACAGTAATATACATATTATATATATAATACAGTAACATAATATGATATATCAATATTTTTATACTGATATTTTTATGCCTTTACTACAAAAAGAGCTGTGTATTTCTTGGTGACTCTAAATATGTCTTTGAATATAGGCTATTAAAATGCAAACATGTTTTTTTGTTGTTGTTGTTGTTGTTGTTTTTTGGTTATTTTTCCAAAGTGCAATTATGCAAAATATGATTACATTATTGTTTTATATATTGAGGTAAGATGTGAAATAGGTAAAAAAAAAAATCAGGTGAGTTAAACCAAACCAAGACATACAGACACAATGACCTTTGGGTTAGATTATTTAATTAATGAAACATTTATAGTGTGTTTCTTATGTACTACTGTCCACCCAAAGTGCTTTTAAATCATATCAGGGGGTTTCTCCTCACACACCACCAGTTTACAGCATCTACTTGGATGATGCAACGGCAGTCACAGTACAACATTGCCAGTGCACTTGTCACCGGTGCTACTTGGCCCGCTCTGAGCAGGATTCGAAAACTGGGTCGCCGGCATGGGAAGCGGGTGCGCTAACAAGGATGCTAAAGCTCGCAGCCTCTAGTGTGCCTCCTATAGGCCTGTTGAGTGAGATTTAAATACACAGCTCTTACTGCCTATGATCCTATGACCACAGAAAGTCAGTACATCTGAAGGATGGTGCTTGTTACAGTGTAGTCTTGGGTGAGCACCCCCTGCTGGCCTCACTAACACCTCATTCAACAGCAACCTCACCATTTTCACCATTTTCACAGGGGGTTTCCCATCCAGGGACTGACCAGACTCAACCCTGTTTAGCATCAGTAGGCAACCAGTCTTGGGCTACAGGGTGATATGGCTGCAGCTTGTTGGTGTGGACAGCGAACATGAGCACCATTTTGGCGAGCATCTGGATCTCTGGCCACACAGCGTAAGTGGGCTCGCGGTAACATGCTTGTATATTGGAGTATTTTTACCGTGTCACGAGACCACTGACAGCCATATTTACGTGAAGAAAAACAGGAACAGTGATAAAATCTTTCAAACAAGATCAAGGTGGAACATCTAATGCTGAGACAAATTAAAGCCTGCTTGTTAGCACAAAGATTTTAACGACAGTGTTACTGTAATCATACTAAATAATCAGTAATTGTTTATGATTGTTGTTAATTATTTTATTTAATTGCCTACCATGCTCTTTGTTGTTACCCTTGGATGTCTGCTTGTGAAAACACATATTGCGTAGAGTGTGCAAATGGTAAAATTCATTTAGACTTTTTGAACACTATTGATACACCACTGAACACACTCAACATTGACCTGCAAAATCAATGTGTTCTAAATGTGTGCTCACACACAAACCGTGATTAACACATCCGCTATTATTCATGGTTTAGATGTTGTTTGATAGTTACACCTTCAATAAATGCCACTTTATTAAAACAAAATGTACATTCAGAATCATTAGCTGACAGAATAATTTAGACATGATGAACCTTTGATGGCTCTCTGGAGAACCCATACAGTAAGTCCTGTCTTTTTTTCTTTCTTTTTTATATTATTATTAAAATCCAATTAGTTTTCACGTACTTAGTGACACCCTTATGCCCTAACCTCATTAAAGTTCATGAAAAAAACAATGACTAAGCCTCTTTAACCAACAGAAGCATATATTTAGCAAATTATCACTTACAGTCCCCGAAACACGTTATACTGTGAAAACTTACGTATATTGTAGACCAGAAATGCCCAAATCAGGGCCTGTGAAAGTTTTCCCGTTTTTTTTTTTTTTTAAATTGGCCCGCCATTACAAGATCATTACTTCATTATTGAAGCACATCCCATTTGAAGCAACGTCAGTTTTTAAATTTTAATTTTTGGATAAAAATGCAGCATTTACTTATGGCCTACGTCCCTCAATAAAGTTTAATTTTTGTCTCTTCCTAAACAGTTGACACCAGTGTGCTTTCATTTAAATTCATTTTTAAATTGAAGTTGATGAATGAGATGAATGAATAAGATAATTTATTTCATTTGTTCTCTTCTTAACTTTTCAAAGATGCATCTTTTAACTGTCAACAAGTATTTTTACTAGTTCATCAGGCAAGTGTCATCTTGTATCCTTCTAAAATGTGGTCACGGCGTCTTTCTTACCACATTGTGTATATGTACAGGGTCCACCTTTTTGCAAGTAAATGCTTGTTGGAAATGAATCATGCATGGATCACAGCAGAAAAAAAAATACTCTGGAATTGATTCAGATCCAACTTCTTTATATCGTCATGATCTCCTAAGGATTCATTTTCATACTCCCTGTTTTCAATCGAGAAGAAACTCACCTCATGTATTGATCTGCTCTCTCCATACATGTGCTTGTCTCCTTCATTGTTGAAAGCATGATGATCCTCAACTCTGTCTCTTGTTTCTCCTGGCACCTCAACATGATAGTCTATCCTCCTACTTGTGGTGCTACTTCCTGTTCATTAAATCTTGCTTGTTTCTGAGTAGTTAACTTTGTTTGGGAAGCACCCATGTCAGACAGGCAGAATAGTGTGTATTAAATGATTAAATAGAACTGACCAAGTGAACACACATGCAGCGTGAGACCAGATCGAGGCTTGAATGTCCAGTGAGTGAGCGTCTAAACAGCAGGTCACATTTCAGTTCTCCAGTTTGTCACTCACAGGTGCTCATGATTGACAGTTCTACCTCTAACAGTTGTGAAATAACACCTCTTCTTTCTGGGAGAAAAAACACCAAAACTGAAACAACTTTCACTGTTTCCAATTCTAGGAAGGTTAGCTTTTGGTTATCTTTTCACCTCATGGAACAGTGGTTAAAATCACTATATTCAGTGCTAAAAATAGCTTTCAATATTTAAATTTCAAAGTTCAATATCTCTAGAGCTTGCCATTTCTTTTTTTAAGAGGACTTGCACAAAAGCCTCATTGATTAATCCAAACACTATGTAGTCGTACAAACTTGCCTTCTTTATGGAATAACTTAAAAACTTAAGTAGGGTGACCATATTTTGATTACCAAAAATCAGGACACTCAGCCCAGCAAACACATGGGCCAACTCAAATGATACTCGAAGTTTACTCAAAGATACCTTATTAATTTCAATACATTTAAAGTAGGTTATGCCTCCTCTGTATGGGTAGAAAATTGTTATATATGAAAAGAGGACATGTCCTGGGAAAACAGGACAGTTGGTCACTCTAAACTTAAGTGTTTAAGGTGGTAGTTTGGCATGTGAACACTTTCATGTTAATTTTACTTTCAAATTACGTTGCCAATTATCTTGAATAATTTCCAAATAAATTTCCATTTACATGTTATAACACACGTTTGAGTTTTCATGTTTTGATAGGGTCATTTCATGAGGATAATGATTTTTATCCTCCTCATGTATAACTGTATATTCTTTCTCCTCTCCACAAACTTACTCATAACAGAACACTTTCTGCATTTTTACATTTAATTTAAAACTAAACATCCCTTAGTATGATTTATAAGCTGTTTTGGGAACCAAAAAATGTCCCCACAAGGGCAAGGGTTTTGAATATTCACATCCCTGTGGTGACATTTTGTCCCCATAACGTAGGGTTTATCACACACACACACACACAGTTTATACAACATGGCCTAAAGAAATGTGAATATAAATGAAAGAATTCACACAGTCAATTTTATTTAACATAATATAATTTATACCATTGGAGTCTTGAAGGCCTGAATAAAATACATTGATGTACATTTACTTTTGACAGGCTGATGAAAAACATGAACCACATCTGAAGATAATGCTGGTTCAATTATTCTTGCCTATACAGCTCCAACATAAAAAAAATCATGAAAAGTCATGAAACGAATTTAAAAAAAAGAAGTAAATAAAACAAAACAAAAAAATTATTTCGGTTTATTGTCGCACAACAAATTTCACACATACATCAAACAGGCCACAAAGAGATAGCAATTAAATGGACAAGAAAGAAAAGAAGAAAAATCTTTTCCTTTGGCCTTGCCCTCTCATACAGTCCAACTACGTATGATACAACTGATGTACATACACAAAGTTACTGGAATGCTTTGAATTAATGTTTTTTTTTCTGTAATTTTTCGTTTCTTTTTTTTGCTTTGTACTTTTACAAGTTTCATTTGAGATAACATGACATGGTCAAACCACAAGTAAAATCTATTTCATAGAGAAGCATCAACTTCAAAGCACCGTTTGGTAACCAGAGATCACTGTCAAAAATGGCTGACCTCCTAACAATATGTACAAAAATATAAAATGTAAATAAAAATACAAACAAATTTTTCCTTTTAAAGTATTTTGTAAGAAGGTAGAACTTTGAAGTCTTGGTTGTTTCTACAAAATCTGCAGTTTGGTGTGTGTACACGGATGCTGGACTCTACTTGATGATGACCATGTTGTTTTTGCCTCCCCCAGTGGACAAGTTCAGGAAAGGAGGGATGAGAAGATTTCCAGCAGAGAAGCTTCTTACACAGTCTTTTGCTTCTTAGGTTCAACATCCTCCTGAAAAAAAGAGGCCAGACTGAGTTAAAACACTGCAGTTATGAGGTCAGATTTATAAACTTATATTAATTGAGGGTTTCAATGACATAAGTCAAGGTAAGTGCAAACTTACCTCATCTTCGTCATCCTCAGCTGCTCTTTTTCCTGTGCCACCCTCAGCCTCATCATCTTCATCATCATCATCACCTATAATGTAGTTCATTCTTAGTAAAGCAACTTTGTTTATATGCTTTGGTAGTCAATGCATAAGTGGAGCTAAAGCAGCATGTCTACATCATTCTCACTACTCTTATTCAATTAGTTTACTTACCTTCTACATCATCTTCCTCATCCTCTTCTTCAGCCACATCATCGTCTTCTTCATCTACTTCATTTTCTGGATCACCATTCTCCTCATTTTCCTAAAAAATAAAATAAAGTTATCATGGGTAATACCTACGGTCATTTGATACATTTTAGTAGTATGTTGTGGGCACTAAATAAAGCAAGTTGTGGAAACTTACAGCCTTTCCATTTGCAGGGACATCCTTTCCATTTTCTGCCTCTTCAACCTGTTTCTTTTCTTTAAGGTCCTAAATGAAGAAGAAAAAAATATATATCTGTAATTGCTTTAGTTACTCATCTAGGAAATTCAACTAGACCAGTGCCAAATTTAAATCCTCTCTTATTCGTGGAACATTTGAAACGAGACACTTTCACAGTCTTTATTCATTGGATGCCTGTCTCTTCCATCTCCGCCTGGTTTAAAGACCATATTGAGCTGTTGTAATTTGATACGTCGATGGCGTTACCGCCAATACTCGCAGTAGTTTAGTTTATAATCCACCTCATTGCTCTTTATAAAGACACGCCCGCTAAAAAACTACAACCCCCAGATTACAATTAGTGAATATTTTAACTCAGCCAATAAGAGTGCGGACTTGACCAAAGAGAGGCAGGACCGATAAGCCTCAGAGAAAGAGAGTGAGTGAGAAAGAGAGAGAGAGAAAGACGGGAGGAACAATAGCGTTGTGCATTTGAGCCTTTAACAAATCGTTTTTCGAGCACTAGGCTATATAGTTGTTCCCTCAAAAATTACCATTATTATCGAAGGAGAAGCCGTTATATTTCAAATAATTTAACACACTGCATCTTGTTCGTTTAAAAATGCAGACTATGAATACCACAGGATGTGCTTCCATGCGGCAGCTCGCTCGTCTTAATAAATGTAGGTCATAATCATCAGCTTTTAAGCCGGTTAGCTTACATTACGCCTGCAACGCCTTCTCACACCGTCACCATTGCATGCCGCTTTATAGCCTACCACCACTGAGCGTCAATGAGCCATACATGAATAATGAACATATGCCATTATCTACAACATAATAATGACCCATATATCGATCAAACAAACGGCGTGGGCTTTGACCTTATAGCCTGAAGCGGAAATCATCTCCGTTTTTAGGCAAAATTAAGAAACGCAGGCTAATCAAAACCAAAAACAAACAAAATCTGAACAAAGGACAAACGAGTCAGAAATGTTGTGCCCACAGCTGGTTGACGAGTCCAGCGATCCTTATTTGACATCAGCAGCTAGATTGAGAACACGCTTGCCAAGACCGGCGGAAAACGATCGTTTAGGGCTGATACATTGTAGCTACGGGGCCGTTCACACAGCACCCGTACTCACGCGCACAAGCACACAGACGGAGCGCAACGGAACGGAACAGAAGGAGATACGTTTTTAAAAGTTGAACGGAGCCACTGTGCCTTAAAAACGCGGCGTTCATGCATGAAACGGCAGAATAACCGCGAGAAACTACCCTCAAATACGTATGTCTAATACGTGCTTACATTTATAAACAATGAAATAATAGCTGCCTGTACGGATGTCCCTTAACTTCGGGGTTTGCGCTCACCTCTTGAGCTGACCGAGGAACCGCGCGCTGCAATATGAACTCATTCAGTCAGCCTGACTGCAGCATCCGCAGCAGTTGTTTAGCGGGAACAAGTTTACACACAAACTGACATCGACCATAAAAGTCATTGAATATTTCGTTAGCCGCTGATCCAATCTAAACCGTTTTTTCGTGCGCTGAACGAAATGATCTGAGAAATGATTACCCACCCTGACACTTCTTCTTTAGGACTATAAAGTAACCAACTGGGCAGGTAAACAGCCCGATAAAGCTCATAACTTAAATAATTTGGCCAATAATAATAATTATATAATATGATGAACTCTTAATTTCAAAACAAAAGAGCGAATTACAAGCCGAACTTGACAGAACTTAAAAAAAGCAAAGCGACCTAACGCTCGGTAAAGTCCCCGTAAATCTGAGGCAGGACTCTGATGTTAACAAGGTAAAGATAAAATTCTGTTTTCATAACACTAGTAACATTTGTCAAACATAAAGCAGACACGTTTAGACATCATAGAAAACGCGTTTTATTCACAGTGCCATCATGAATAGTGAGGGCTGCAGTAACTTGTGTGACAGATCGGGCTGTTCGCTGACGAATCACCGCGTCTCGCTCTCGCGGACTGTACGAGGCACCTTCAATTATTGAGTCTACACGAGGTAATAAAGAAACTTGTGCAACAAACCATATAAACAGAGTAGGCTACGGATAGTGCTTACGATTATCTGCGTCCATCTCTCTCGCAACATTTTTCAAAGAGGAACCGAAAAACCGCCTGCATAAACAAAGAACCCGCGCAGAATCCGAACAAAAAACCTTTTGGTTGCAAATGTATCCGTAAAGAAGCCCAACTTCCGAACACCTAACGTTTTACAATCCACGAAGTCCTCAAAGTGTCAGTGAGCAGTCAAAACACTTGCAAAATGTGCAAACAGTGCACCAATAATGCTGTATCCTGATTTCCATGCCAAAATTCATATTTTATAAAAACCCGTTAATTCAGATGAATAAAAACGCAGCATCTCGATAAATCAGGATTTAACTTAAGTTGCATTACCTTGGCGGAGACTTCCGAGCTGGTATCGACTTTTGTGTCAGCCATTTTTCCTAAATATTAAGAATGTAATGGGGTCTCTTAACAAAATAATATAAAGATAAATACGAGATGTATATAATTAAAAAAAAGACTATTAAGCGACTGTAGCGAGCTCACACAGGCGGTAGAGCTGTTAATATAGAAGACTAGGCGGAGTTTGGAGGCGGGCGCTTTTCAGTGATTGGCCAGTGAGGAAAAACTCCGCTCTTCTGATTGGTCAAGATGGAACAATAGACAGTATTTCTACAAAGTCAAACTCCGCCTCCAAACCAACCTCTGACTCATTTATGTGTGGAATAACTGTCGATCCATCCTGGTCAATCTCCCCTTGATGGATGGCCTAGATGGGCTCATCACTGTAAAAAAAAAAACAAACAAACAAAAAAAAAAACAAACAAACATGTATTTAAGACAATAATACTGCCCTGAAATCTATAATGGTCCATTTCGTCTCAAACACTTATTTTTAAGAGCCGACCAAGTCCCGAGTTTACATTATTGTAATTGTTTTTTTTCTCTCTCCCATATGGTGACATTTAGGCTACATGTAATACATAACCACTGATCACATCGTTACTCGTGTCATCATTTCGCCATAACATATTTTGTCAATTTCTTTAAAAGATGTCTTATAAAATATCCTGCAGTGGTATTCGCATCTAATTGATATGTAAGCATTGAGGTTAAGAGTATACTGCATACCTAGAGTCAACTTATTTATTTTAGGAGGCGCATAAACTTTTGCTCTTTCTAAAAGAAAGGTCACACTCAATGAATATAATATTGCGGCAGACGCCCCACTGGTGAAACCTGCTCAACATTTGACTGACAGTTTCAAACCCCGCCCCTTCTCCGATCTTTACACTGGGTATGTAAAAATATCATCCTGGGTGATGTATGAGATCGGTTATTGAGATATAACACGGGAAGGAAGAACGTCAAATAATATGCTACCAGTTCTAGCTATTAGAGTAAGACAACAATCAAATTCGCGATTTGTTTTGTTGTAAGATGCTTGACCGAGATCTTGTTCTTTTGGCAAACACGGATTATTGGTGGGCTAGTGAAGGATAACGGATATGCTCATCAAACTAAGCGCTCTATAAACATTAGCGGTGATGTTTTGACATTTCAAGCAATTTAAAATCTGCACGCTGCAGGTATATTTAATGGTGTACCTCTGTAACTTACCTCACCATCATGGCCGATTGAAATACCGTATGGCGTCTTAAAGTCTCCTTATTGGCTGATTGGGCCGAACGAACGCAGAATTGACGCTTTGCGAACGCTGATTGGTTGGTACCAACGTCAATCAACGGAAGTACCTAGTTTAAGGTGCTAAAGAAAACATGGAACTGGAATAAGCCTACTGTATTTTCCCTTTTATTTCTTCCGTTCTATGGTTCCATGTCAAGGGCAGATAAAAGGTGTTTGCAAATAAAACACGTCCAGGATTGAATTTTCACAGGGTGTGTGGGGCAATGACAAACAGATTATTCATTGTCACATTTAATAATTTAGCATACGGTTTTATTCAAAGAGACTTCCAAATGAGAAACATCACAGACTATCTATCCCGCAAGAGCTAACAATAGTCCCAGTGCAATGGCAATTAAAGTGAGAGCAAGCTGCAGTAGTATCCTAGAAGCTAGACGTTTACAAATTATTTACATTACATAATGTAACATAATTTACATTACATAGAGGGGTATGCCCACTGTTATAACTTTAATTCAGAGGTGTGAAGAGTAGCCAGCAAATTAAGAGATATCTTAAAACAAGAAAATGTGAAACCGGGCCATATGATTATCTGAACAGTTCCGTATTTTACTGGTACTGCATGAAGGCTCAAAGATTCTTTGAGACATGAAGTGAAAAAATAAAAGAACCTTTGAGACATGAAGTGAAAACATAATAAATAAATTATGTTTAATCTTAAATAAGAATAAGTTGATTTGCAAAGAGAGAAATCGGATTTATTTAAAAAAAATCAAAATAAAACTAAAATTAAATTTCAAAATTCCAAGAAATCAAGGTTTACAAAACAACCTCAGTTAAGTTCAAGTGCTCAAAAAGGTCATAAGTATAGCCTAACCAATATCATTCAAACAACTCTCTTCAATATAATGGATAAATAAAACAATGTTAAGTAAAATTAACCAGTCAAAGTCTACTTGCACTGGACATGCTGGTTTCAGTCTCATTACCGGTTGCAGTCTTGCTCTCGTTTCATTAATCAAACACATGCTATTCAGCAACCTACTCACATTCATGTAAAGCAGTAATTCTCAAAGTGTGGTCCGCGGACCACTAGTGGTCCGCCATCGCCCCCTAGTGGTCCGCGAAAAGATGACCTAAACTAGGCAAGTGTTTACAAAATCGTCACTTTTTCGCACGTACCAGTGTGATCAGTCTTCTTGGCTGATCCCTGGAGCATACGATCACACCGGTGTGATTAGAATGTTCAGTGCTTCACGTCAGCAACTGCTAAATTCAAACTTGCTCTCGCGCGCTGGCTGGCGCTAAGCCAGAGACGGACGCACTCAGAGCTGTCATATAACACTATTGAGTGTTTTCAATGTTTATTTTAGGTTTCAGACATTTAAATATACATAAGTACTAGCAAAACAATGATTTTGAGTTTGTAAAATACACACTGATGTCTATGGAAGCGGCAATAATCTTTTCAGTTATAATAAGACAACAACACGTTTTATTCATATCAGATACACATTGTGTAAGTAGCTTTACATTTGACCCTATTCTTCTCCCAGTTCACCAGCCACTTACTATCATGTATTTAGTGAGAAGTGGAGGAATTGACGTTGTAAATCCAACAGATCTGATTCTCTGAACTGAAAAAGAAACTAAAAGCTCAACTAACGCGATCTTTATAAAGATGTTTAAACAATGTCAAACCCATCCACTTGCACATATTTGACAATCGGAATATCAGTGTTTCATGTTATAGCTAATACATTTATGAATATTTTTAACAAAAGAGGAAAAATGACACAAAACAGATCATCCTTCATTCCGCGCTCTGTTTTGGTTGTGCTGTGTCACGTGACAAGCAAAGACGCGTCACCATGGAAACATTAAAGTGGCAAGTTCTAAATAACGGTCGCCTTGAAAAACTCACGCTGGGGGGTCAGTTAGAATATTTTAAACTTACGTGTGAAAGGGTTAATAAACTTAATTACCAAGCTTTAGCTTTCAGTAAATAAAAAAATTATTCATAGGCAAAATCAACCTATATCAGTTGACCCTGTGACCCTATGGGGGGGGGGGGGGGTGTTAGAGTGGGATTTTGTTAGGTGGTCCTCAGAAAAAAAATGGAAGATGAAGTGGTCCTTGGGCTGAAAAAGTTTGAGAAACACTGATGTAAAGTAACCTTTGTGACAAGTTTGTGTGAGTAAGTGCAAATACACAAGATATACCTTCAATGCCCTGTAGATGGCGATATCGCTTCTTTATTGCAGAAATAAAGTGCTGCAGAAAAAGTTAGGTGCCATACAAAATGTAACGCGTAATTTTCGCGTAATTTGCGTTACTCATCATTACAAATGTGTAGGAGTAAAGAGTAAATATAGGATACTCAAAAAGTAGTCAAGTAGAGAGTAAAGGTTACTAATATCTTTGATACCAAAAAGATTCTTCGTAACTATTACTTTTACTCAAATAGTACTTCACCCCACTGCTTTCGTTTTACTATTAGAGCCTTGTACTGTCGGTCTATCATTTAGCAGACTCTTTCATCCAAAGCCATTTACATTAGCTGCTACAGTATTGCATATATGGATCAAACTGAAGTTAAGTGCCTCGCTCAAAGGCAAAATGATGGTGATAGAGCAGAATTGTGATCTCACTAATACACCAGTTCCTGGGTGTGTCACTGCTGCTTGGAAGTAAACCTGCAACCATCAGGGCAGCACTACCACCATCCAATGCTTCTATAATCTGTCTCATGCATCTGTAGTCTGTCATTATATATATAAAAAAAACAAAAACAAATACTAGATATTGTCTACTCCTTCTGAGATTGAAGTATGTTGGTGACAAATTACATCCATCAATCTATCTGGGATGCACAAGTTTATAGGCCCAGAGGCTGTGACCCACCGTAGGAGTATGTCTCTTACACTTTCAAAACAGCACTGAGACACATTTTAATTTATTTTGTAAAAATATTAATATTATTTTGCAAGCATACTATGAGGATATTCAAATTTTTGCTAATCCTAACAATCCATTGATTATTTAAATGTAGTAAAATAAGTATAGCATAGTAAAATATTATTTATGTTTAGTGAGCAGAAGTTTATTTGTCCTTACTCTGACTTCACGACTGTGTTGGACTTCAGGTCTTCTTAACAATAAGGCTCTTAACAGTATGAAAGTTATGTTGTGATCATTCAGCAAAAAATAAAAAAATAAAATAAATGTTATATTTCTAATATTATTATAAATATATAATAAATATTATAAATTTATATTTTATATCACTTTTATTTTGATGTAAAAAATGATAATGTTTCCCTTTTGATAAGTAACTTTATAGCATGTCAACCAGTTCTCATTAGAGTAGACTGTCTGCTTAATTTCCGCTAACTCTTTATTGTGATGGTCCTCCAACAGACATTACTGACTATAGTCTAAGTAAATTTGCAAATATACATATCTTAACTTATTCAACTTCAATTCTAACACTAACCCTATCAGTCTACTATCAGAGTAGATATAGGTGCAATGTTACTTATAGTCAAAAAAAAAAGTTAAAGGGACAAACAAAATAAAGCATTTGTATCTGTCAAAAGTCTCATCAATGATGAAGATCTGTGAAATGTTTGTCACCACCACCCAGTGCAGTGAAACAATCCTACTCCATCTCCCCTTCTCACATCTTCTCCCCTCTCTCTCTCTCTCTCTCTCTCTCTCTCTCTCTCTCTCTCTCTCTCTCTCTCTCTCTCTCTCTCACTCTTGCAGATCTTTCTCCATTAGCCTTGATTAAAGCCTCTCCTATACGACAAACTGTGAGAGGGCTTTCTCAGTGATCTCTGGCATCTCAATGGAGTCTTTTCCTGTCTGCAACAATAATAACCAATCTGGAAAATCCCCTGCTTTGCTGCCGTCTGGTATGGCTGGTCACGTGATCTTGCAGTCCCAGGAGCCCTGAGCCCTACTTGCCCTGGTCTCTTGGATGGTCCTGTTTACTTACACAATCTTATTGCTGTTAAGAATACACAAATGGCCTTGGGACTGAAACATGGTCGCCCACTGTTTATTACACCCCTGGCTGTTTAGGTCATCAGCACAAACTAGGAGAGTAATTGAATTATGTTTATTATTCTGAATATTTATTTTACCTTCATGGATGAATAGTTATATGTAGAATAGTATAGTATAGTATGGTATAGAAACTATTCATCGTGTATATATATTCAATTCAATACTCTTATTCTGAATATTTATTTTACCTTCATGGATGAATGTAGAATAGTATAGTATAGTATGGTATAGAAACTATTCATCGTGTATATATATTCAATTCAATACTCTTATATGGTGCACAGAGTGACACACTTAAACGCAAAACACTTTCAGGGTAACACACATGGCAAGTCAGTTCTAATCCTTTATTGTCATATGCACAGTTTCCTGTACAATTGAATAAAGTATTATAAGAAGAAAACATAAATTACAAATATACAAAAAATGCAATATATAATGCAAAGTGCAATATGGTACAGTTTGGTGTAAAATCTGTACAGTTTGCAAATGTGCATCAATGCTTGCGGTGTGGAATATGAATAGGACGTCTGTATGGTGAGGAGTTTCGAGTAATATCAAGGCTGTGTCAGGGTCAATGAATCAATGTTTGACCCATTTAACATTCTGATGGCTGCTGGGTAAAAACTATTTCTCAGTCAAGACGAGAAATAGACCTGCATTTCAGAAGAGGTGTGAGCATTGTATTATATTTATTATTTCATATAATAAAAAGGCAATTTTAGGCAGAATCAATCTTCTCAGACACTATTTACTTTCATTGTACAGTATGGAACAACATAAGTTGAGTGAGTAAATGACAGAATTTTCATTTTTGAGTGAACTGTCAGGGCCAGGATTTTCTGCAAAAAGTAAATAAATAAATGTTGTGTCAGGTGTAATGAAGGGTGTTGATGGTACAGTGGATAAGACACGTCTTTGGTGTGAGGGACCCGGGTTCGAACCCACTGTGAGACACGTGCGACCTCTGACATGTATAGCAATTGTAAGTCGCTTTGGATAAAAGTGTCAGATAAATGTAAATGTAATGTTTCACTGTAGTCAATAACGTAACGTAATGTTTTGTTCCCAAGGGTAACAGTAGTGCAACAAACGTTTCCATAAATATACATTTAGTAAAATATGATCTTTGTTTAATGCTTCCTCAAACCCTTGTTGGTTTCGAAGGGAAGAGTTCGTTTGATCTGGGATTCTTCCTTGTTTCTCGTCGTCCGCTTTCCTAATGTAGTAGGGGCAGGACTGCAGACGCTCAGCCTGCAGCGTTTTCCCCTCTCATTTTTCATTTTTATTTAAATATAGCCTTCTTTTGTCCTGCAGCAGCTGGTCTCAGAGTTTTCCCACAGCTGGGATAAAGAATGAGGACCAAACTTTAATTCAGAGCAGAAACATGCTAGGTGTTCTTGCTCTAAACTCTTCTTTTCTTCTCTTCATTATTACAAAAGAATAAAACAAGGCCTTGCAGATCTAATATCACCATTTTTTTACATTTACATTTTTTTTTTACAAACATTTGGAAAGATTGCCAAAAATGGAGGTGAAAACGACATGACATTAAGCTACTCTTTGCCTCTGGGTGGCTCAGTGTCACTGAGGCACAAAAGAGGAATTATGTCCAGGAGACAGCAGTCGATGAGGGACAAATCAATGAAGCTGATCCATGCAGCGTGTGACCCCATGACCCTGAGCTCTGTGATGTGTCTCAGTGCTTTTTACGCGCAATTTAGTATGGCAAAGGCGTATTCCGGCAGATTATTCATGATATTACAAGCTTAACGTTTGTTGTGACTGAATCTGGATTGTTCTTAAACTAATTACCCTGAATACAAAAGAAAAGGATCTATTTTAAAGAACACCTCTTACCTAACTTGTTTTTCAAGCCAAAGTATTATCACCTGAGCAGGTTATGGGAAGATCAGTGGTTTTTGTTTACAATCCGAAGCAGTTACAAGATTACTCTTTATTGGTAGATGTGAGTTTCACTTCCTTCCTTTCTGTTGCTTTGCATGACTGCAACACAGCCACAGTAGGCCTGTCATTTGCTGGCAGATTTTTCTTATCTGAGCGTTGGAGTTTGGCAATCTATTTGGCGAAGAGTTTGCACATTCTGTGCTCTATTTATTAAAGCATTTGGTTTGTTGTAGTCTGTCATCTGACTCTCGAACATGAAAATTGGGCCGGTGGTTCTTTGAAACAGCAATTTCTTCAGCTTTAGTGCTCACGTTGCAATTCCACCAGTGACACCTACATAAATGTTACTATTTATGTACTCGCATCATCACAGTTTAGCAGCATATTTAAAATTTTAATTTGACATTAATGTAAATTATTTGATATGGAGATGAACTATAAAACCCTATAGCCCCTCCTCCTCAGCAAGAACCAACCAGATCTACTTGTGTTAAAGCCTAGGTGGCACTGATGTGCAGTTAAGACCTATAAAGCTGCAGAGCTCACAGATGAGTTCTCACATTCTGGCTTTACAGGACAAGTCTTCTTTGTTTTGATGTTATGATGAACAGCAATCCCACTACATCATTTTCAGACTGTTCCTAGCTATTTGAGTCATGGTAAGTGAACTTTCACAGCATTCATTCATTCATCTAAAACAGCAGTGCACTAATGATGTTGTATCTGGTTTTAATTTGTTTTAAAAAAGAATCACAAAATGTATTAGAGGCATACTGAACATATTAAGCGTTTTGTATCCATTATATCATGTGGCATCTCTTGTTTCATACACATTTCAGTATAATGGATCTAAAAAAAGAGATAAAATACTGTTAGACAGAGCTGGTTTAAAGGGTGTCGTTAAAAAGTATCAAGAGAATATTTAACTTTTAATTAAATGTTTGTTTTAATGTTTTGAAATGTCTGTTTAAATATGACTGCCTGTATAAAAATACCAAATTACTAGTCTGTGTGTGAAATGTGAATGGGGGAAAGTGAACAATGACATCGGATTGAAATTTGAATAACTTTTGATAATAATACAAATCTGGAATGAACAGCTATATGAAAATATTATAAATCATATCAAAACCCGAACAGCAGTTACTTATATTTAATCATGCAATGTGAGGCATTATTTAAGGAGCTACAAACTCACTTTATTATAAATCAATGTGATGTACTGTATACAATTATTGTCACATAAACTATGGGATCCAAAGTAATTAAAAGTTGCATTTTCAGTTGAATTTGGGGGAACCACTTGAAACATTTGTTGTGTTGAGCTATTTCAATTACTTTTGTTTGACTTGACTTGTTGCAATGGGGCTTTAATTTTGATTTTTGAACTATAAATTCATAAACTAAAGCACTTAAAAAAAAAACACTTAAAAAAAACAATCTGTCACAATGTCTGTAGTTTAATTGGCAGCCAGAATTGCACTTGTGCCTTTTCCTATCCGTCTTCTATTTTTTCATCAAATTCACACAGTGACATGTAGCTGACCTGCTGACTTATAGGACACATCTGAGAAAGATCAGTAGACAGTAGGAAAAACATGTTGCACAATGTTACCGAATGTAACCTCGATTCTCTCTAGAAGAGGGAAGAAGTATTGTGCAAGTTGCTTACGCTACGGATAAAATAATCTTTTTTCGAGATCTGAAGCCAAAAAATGATCCTAAATTTTTTATTTATTGTCAACGCAGTGTGGCGGACAGCGGACCATAGCAGGCTGTAAGCGTACTCATTGGCTGTCATGTAGCAACTGCAGCAGCCTATCGGTGAGCCCTGCATGATGTCGCTGGTTTTCATTGACTGAAGAGAATAAGCTTGCGGCAGGTTACACAATACTAGTTCCCTCTTCTAGAGAGAACAGAGGTTACATTAGGTAACCGAGTACGTTCTCTTACGAGAGCTTGTATTGTGCAAGTAGCTTACGATACGGGAACCCTTTGTAAACGCTGTGCGCACCAAGCATCCGCTGCATGAGACCCGGGGAGACCCGTGGAACAAAACATGAACAAAACAGAGCGGCTCCGCCGGTCTAAACGTAGAATAAAGTTGGCAAACAATGCGGGCCAGCACAAGATCACAAGTACATAATAGGGCAGTCAATAGAGCGGCTCCGCCTTACTCTGTATTGAAAGCATTACCCTTTTGCGCAGTTGATTGGGAGTAGGCGGCAAGCAAAGCGGGCCCGCACAGATATACTGGCACGTCATAACAGATCGGCTCAGCCGGTCTATGTATAGAGAGTCTCACCTAACTGATATGAGAGTGGCCTGCACATAAACAACTGGGCAGAACATACACATCACTTAGACTGACAAAAGTTTAGCCTGCAAGGCGGGAACTACCAGGTTATAGAGGCGAGCGAACTGCAATGCATAGCAATGGGTGCTCACCACCCATTTTGACATGCCCGGAATAGCTTCCCATGCTTTTGGAAGCAGGACTAGGAGCAGAATGGCTTCTGGGTTCTGATTGCCATGTACTGCGGGCTCGAGAACCTGATTCGGAGGCGCGGGGGTGCAGCGTGCGCGCTCTCTGTGCTGGAATATGGCTCGTCGTTTTATACACGATGTCCCGTTGGCTTCGGACAGGGAGCATATTATGCCAGGAACGGGGCGCGAGAGCATTGCTGGGGGTACAGTGCTTTTTAGTAAGTGTGAGTGCTCATGAGCGGGTTGTCTGTTTCTGTAAAGTGACCGGCAGGGATTGGCTGTGAAACAGAGCGGGCAGTGAGTAGGTGTGGACAAGAGGTCGTGAGCACATATTCTACATCTAACACTCGAGTGGCTTTTGCCAGCTTTAGGAGAGTGGGCTCTGTGAGAGACATGTGCTTGTGTGCAGGGGTGAACATTGATACGTGGGCCCATTTTGTACACTTACCAGACATTATGCTCTATTTGAGATTTCTCTGGGTTGCCTTGACAATGGTGGTTGCGTGCAGGCGAGTGGGTTGTATCGATGGCTTGTTGGTTGTGAAATACACATCTGCAGTAGCTGAGACTATGGGGACTGGCAACAGAGCGTTTCGGTGGTCCGGCCGCAGCGGGGCTCAACCGTCTCTTCCTCCTTTGAACTGCTAAGAGGACTTCGCAGGCTCTGGTTTCAATGCAATCGTAGGCCTGGGTCCCCACAGGGGTGGAAGCGGCCTGTGATGGCTGGCCGAGCACAATCTAGGGCAGCCGCCCTCTCATCGCTGCGAAGGCGGAGGCTGAGCTGGACGCTGGGTGGAGCTTTGTGCAGGCTGGTCCCGAGGACGGCATGCAGCATAGCTCTGTTGTAGAGGCAGGAAAAGATTCATGGCCTGCGTGGTCTTTTGTACCTCCGAGAAGTGGTCCACAATCCCGCTAACTGCGGGGCTGAAGAGGCTGGTGGGGGAGAGCGGAGTGTTGAGGAAAACAGCCCGCTCGGATTCCCTCATGTCGGCGAGCTTCAGCCAGAGGTGCCTTTCTGTGACAGTCAGAAAGGACACACACCTTCCAAGGGCCTGGGCAGCAGATTTAGTGGCGCGAAGGGAGAGGTTCGTCGCACTGTGCAAATCCGTGATGGAGGTAGGATCCGAGCTCTTCTCATCCAACTCACGGAAGAGATCAGCTTGGAGGATCTGTAGGACTGCCATGCGCAAGGGAAAGATTCCGGTGAGCTTCTGGGCACCACATTGGTCTCCGGTGGCCTCTGGGAGTGGCCTTTCTTCCTGCACGGTCCAGCAGAGATAGGTGGAGCGGTGGCGTTGTCATTGAAGATCTCAAGTCGAGCTCGCAGGGTCGTCACTGAAAGATCTTCACACTCAGGGGAGCCGCCCGAAGCCCGAAGCCGCACGGCTCAGAACGAGAGCGCAGATGAGATGGCGGTCTCCGGTGCTGAGCGAGGCTTGGCATGAGCCACGGGAAGCGCGAGGCATTTTGCCAAAAACACCTCACGCTCTTTTACACAGCAGAGAAGAAAAAGGGTACTTTTTGTTGCCAGAGAGTGTAGCAGGCACAGATGAATAAAGGCGGTGAAGACGGCCAGCTTCTCCAGACGCTTCCTAAGCTTGCTGGTTGCTTGTTTCGACGGCGGCAGCTTCTCAAGATCCAGCGATGCAAAGAGTTTGGCTGAAGAGGTGAAAACCAAAGCTCAGCCTGTTGAGCCCCTCTTTATATACGCTAGCCACTCCCATTCTGGCGGGGTGTGATGCGTAGAGGGCGTGACATCACTCAGAGCTCACCAATAGGCTGCTGCAGTTGCTGCAGGACAGCCAATGATCACTCTTATACAGCCTGCTATGGTCTGCTGTCCATCATTTGTTGGCTTAAGATCTCGAGAAAAAATGACTTTTCCCATAGCGTAAGCAACTTAAGGCTGATTTATACTTCTGCGTCGGACCTACTGAGCCTCTACGCTATAGACTACGCGTTGGTTTTCACTTCTGCGTCGTTGTCCACGTTGATGCGCATTACACATGCAAAGGGAGCATGTGAAACCCGGGGAGAAATTCTAGCAGACCAATCACAGCGCTTGCGGTGCGCATAGAATTGACGCGTTTTTGACATTTTTGGAGGGGTGCACGTCAGGGTAGCCGAAGGGTACGACACACAGTCGGCGTATGGCTACGGCGTGAATTCGACACAAATTGGGCTTTACGCAATACAAGAGAACCTCTTGTAAGAGAACCTAAAAATGCCTTTTGTGGTAACATTTAAATTGTGTTTAAATCAAATATATTATAAATATAGGCTTCTCTATACTTAGTCTCTTGTGCCACATATTGGAAAAAAAAGAGAATTGTTTAGTGTTAAACTAGTTAACACTAGCAGAGATAATTTATACAGTCTGCGGCTGTGACGCGGCTACCGGAGCTCATCACGCCCACTCTAGTCAATGATTGGGTTTACATAAACCACGTTACGGTGTTTCAGAAGCATCCCAGAAGCGGCTCTCCTCACCGCTTCACTAAAGACAGGTGCCAAGTCTATTTTTGACGGACGTCGCGTCCAAGCCACACCGTAACTACAAAATAAAAATAAAAAACACTGTAAATTTTTAAATAAGCACCCTGTAAGGACTCCCAATTGTATTGCACACCAATAGGCCTATATCCAGTTGAAAGCATAGACTGTAAGGTAGAAACCCAAGAATCAAGAAAAAAACACATTGGGACAGGCAAATCACGTGGTCACGTGCATCCATTAGCTTTGCTTCTGAAATGTTCCTGGTGTGAGTTGGCAGTGTCACTGTGTGGAGGATGGAATAAAATCTCGTCTGAGCCGTAATGTGCTGCAGACATGTGCAGTGTACAAGTGAAGAACAGTTCAGACGGTTCTCGTTTATTGTTATCTATTCATAAGTGTGTAGAAAAACCCTGCATGAACGCTCAGTCACATAATCATCATTCATTAACATCATGGGGGCTAAGCCCCCCCCTCCCAAGTACCCACTTGACGCCAGGCCTGGGTTACAGCAAATAAATTAATTTTTCAGGGTCAAAAGAGGTAAAAGACTGGTATTCCTTCATTGGACTACACTTTTACTTATACTTTTATCAAGATCAGATTAGGTAACACAATTGGAGATTATGATGATTATTGAACAAACTGTAAGCCCAATTTCACACATAGGACCGAATAAACCATGGTGTAAGTAAATAAATAAATAAATAAATAAATCTCAGTTAACAGTTTCATATATAATGTGTGGGTCATGATATGACAGCATGATCAGAACGTCTGCGAACAATCCTAGCCTCGCTGCTCGTCTCCTTGGTAACTCCAGATACAAGGTGCAAAATCAGTCCTGTGAACACAATCACTACACACTTGCTCTGAGCAGACATACTCTCTAGAGGGGATAAATACATGTTTGCACTATAGGCTACATGTGTGATGGCGTGTCTGAGCAGTTATGTGAATTGATACTAACAGGGCTGCGCTCTTCTGACCCTGAGAGGAGTGTGAGCAAACAACAGATTGCACTTAACGGCATGTGGCTAGTCATCCAGAAAGCAGTGGAGCTTGCAGACCATGAAGGCATGTTCTCACATACATTTAACATGATCTCCTCTCACAAAAGGAATCATATTTCATAATCTCAGCTAACAAGGAACGTTAACAGAACTTTGACTAATGTTCTGGCAAGGTTCTCAAGCAAACCTTCTTCCAGTAACGTTCACTAAGCGTTATCAAGTCTTTAATAATGTTTTCAGAATCTTAGCACAAAAACAATATTTATACATTGTCCGTTAAAGGTTTTAGTTGGATAGTTTTGTTGGACATTCGTCTAACATTTAAAAAAAATATGCTAAACTCTTAGAAAAAAAGGTTCATTGGGGTTCTATATGAAGCATAGGGTTCTTTACTCAACTCCAAAGAACCCTATATGCTAAAAAAGGTTCTATAATCACAAGAAAGAACCCTTTTGGCACAAAGGTTCTTTACAGGTTGCTATTATTCATTCATATATTACAGTTTTCTGCAACATTTTGTAGTCGTAATTATTTTTTTTTAAAACAATTTTTTTAAAAACAAACATTAATTAAAACTAGACATTCAGAGAACATTCAAGAAATAATACTTCCATGACAAAATAAACATTCTTAGATCATATATTTTGTTAGCTGTGATACAAGCACTGTGGTGTGCATTTTTAAGATGTCACACAGATTGACACTGCTTTGTAAAAGCACAAAGGACTTGAAGGGAGTCAGATTTTAATATGAATTAAAATCCGGTTCATCCATCATCTGACTCCAACCGTTTGTATTTTAACACAACAAGATGGGTTGTTGTGTGACTATTAGCCTGTATGTCATCATACTTTTCAATTTCCTGTACTAATGATGGTATAAGGCGGCCCAGGAGGAGGATATTGTTCAGTTGGGAAAAGATGCCGACTGCTGCCACACTAACCAGCGCCAACAGCTTCATCACAATAGTGTCCATGTACTAGAACACACTCTGAGCAGAAGGTGTGATCAGCTGATATGTTTGACAAATATTTCAGTAATCATAAAAGTCAGATTATATGTTAGAGCATAAAATGGATGTTAATGAACAGAAGTAATGTGTGGAGGAGGTATAGCCACAGCAACCCAGGCTGGGCAACATTTGGAATTTAAGAATCAATTCATGAGTTGAAACTTAAAATGAATAGATTCTGCATCACAGGAAATTGAAATGCATGGAATTCGAAGTGGAATTTGCTGAATTAAAATTCAAAGAAATTCAACAGATAATGGCATTTCCTCATCCATAAATCTGTCTGTTTGTAAGGAATAAAACACACTTCATAAATAAATAAAAAGTATCCCCCCAAAATTAAAATGATGCCATCATGTCCCTCATGTCATCACAATATCTTATTTTATGTTCAACAGAAGAAAGAAAGTCATACAGGTGTCGAATGACATGAGGGTCATGAGTAAATGATGACAAACATTTTTTTGGGTGACCTATCCCATTCATTTCAAATCTGAATTTTACAATGTAATATTCAGTTCAAATTCAGGAACTGAACTGGATTTTAAGTATTCTCATAGCAACAGATCCATATCTGATGGAAAATTGACGGCGATTTGAATACCACAAAAATGTTACTTCGATGAACCTTAACATAGATTTCTGACAAGTACCGGGTACAAAATTCAGTGTAAAGTGGGTTATTTAGGTTATCCCTCTATATATTTTGCATGACAAAAGACAAGTGTTCCTCTTAAATTGTTTCTAAATCTCTCTCTCTTTTTTCTTCTCTTCTCACCCACCAAATCATTCAGCTATAAATTTATCTTCGATATCTCATCAGCTCTATTAGGACAGTTCTGGGAGTCTTGGGGGGTCCCGCACCTGACCCTGTATGAGTGGTGCTAAAACCTGAGAATTGGATTACAGCTTATCCATATCAGCAGCTGTAGCTTCCTAACAAAGCCTGATGGGGCCCCTGGGCATATTTACAGCAAGACAGAATTCACCAAGGACACTCCTGACTGGAAAAGTGGAATGGCAGAGGAAAATCTGGTGCCATAATCCTCTCTCCCTTCAACACATTACATTATGCTCCAGCATATTGACTGGCTGACAATGCCCACAGAAGAAGAAGGTAGATTTCTAGGAACGGTAGCTAGCCACACAACAAGAGGGTCAGAGTTTATTTCAGCCTGACAATGGAGCTTCTGTAAATCAGTGTGATCACAGTTTCACTGACAGGTTGACTAACTCTTGCAGTGCCCCTAAATCACACACACTCGCTGGGCTCAGACCTCACTGCATGATTTTATTTTTTCGTGCAGCGAATGAAGGCATTTCAGGCCAAAGCTGCAATACCAAAACAGATTCATTCCATATGTTTAAACTGCAAATGTGCTGGATTATAAATCAAAATATTTTAATTGCAAAATCAAGATGTATGTGCTGTTTTTGTTTTGTGTTTTTGGCTGAATAAAGTTAGTCAAAAATGTCTGCGGTCTTTACTTTTACTAAACTAATTGTGATGAAAACTATGTTATCCAAACCGTATTGATTATACTGTGAGTGGATCAGGTCATTCCTTTTAGCCTGAGGTCATGCATCTAATGTGACATCACACACAGATGATGTAAGGCAGTGCAGTGAGCTCAGAGCTAGTTTCAGGGGGAGGGCTGCTCGTTTGGAACAGATAAAGGTGCTTTGTTTTCTTCACTTCCTCCTCTCTGGTACATGACTAGAACATTGTTCCTGTGTTATAGTATTTGTTCATTTGAAGGGAAACTGAATTGTCCTTTCTGGCTCTGACCTAACAGCCACATTCGAGAAAGGAGAAAGTATATTTACCAAGAAGATAAACTTCCATTAAACGAATATATCTTAAAAATAAAAATTAATACACTAATGGCTCATTAAAACACATATCCAGTAATATGAATATGAAACATTTCATTTTACTTCTAAATAATTCTGAAAAAAATGTATCACTGTCCCCTATAAAAATATTAAACAGCACAATTTTTGAATTTTAAGAACTACCATTTGTTACCAGAAGTTTCCCCCACAAACTGTTCTGTTTCTGTTATATATATATATATATATATATATATATATATATATATATATATATATATATATACAACGCATTCTCACCCCAAGGCGTCACCTTTGACCATGCTTCAATATTTGACGTTTTAGGCGCCCTTTAGCGTCACTTACATGACGCGATCCTACGGCGTCATTTAACTGACGCTAAAGGAAAGCGTCAGATAGAGGACGCGGTAGGTGTGGGGTGGGGTGGGGGTAGGGTACACGCGATCCTAGGGCGTCACCTAACTGACGCTAAAGGGCGCCTAAAGCGTCAGATATTGAAGCATGTCCAAATGCTTCCCAAGGCGTCAGTTAGGTGACGCCTTGGGAGTGAGAATGGGCTGATATATATTTTCTTGTGTAAATTATATATATTTTTTACATGAAACTGCAAACAAACTACAGTGTGACAACTAGCCCCATCATGCTCTTCCTGATGTGTGATGTAGCTAGAAGCATCACCTGATGGCAGCTAAGTCAATAAATAAAGCTTTGTAAAAAATAATGATGAACACAAATCCAATAGGCTATTTGCTCTCTCATAAGTTTTGCATTCCCCCGAGAAAGTTTGTGTTATGAAAGCGGATGCAAAGTTTTGCGGGGGAATGCCAAAGCATTTAAATAGATTTTTCTTCCAATCTCATATTTTTTCATCACCAATACAACGTTTTTTCATCAGAATTCAAAACAGAAAAAAAAAAGAAATGTGATTTTCCTTCCCATCTCACATGTTTCACCATCACCAAGGCTCTTTTTTTAGGATTTTTTTTTTTAATTTACACAATTTTTAGGAATTGTTATAGGAACTAATTTAATTAATATTTGATTAAGGGGGTTAGAAACAAACAAAATAAATTGTGTAAATTTAACCTTTTACATTACTCCATACTGCATTGAAAATAAGATCATGTTACATTCAGTGCAGAATCCATAGTGCATGTTTCAAGTCGGACCAGAGAATGTCATTTCTCGTGCCATTTATACGCCAAAACTAGTTTTTGCGTGTATATTGTATGCGTTTTTCGCGTGCATATGATACGCACTTTTTGGTGTATAATAAGTACGAACTCCCCACCCCCCTTCCCCCTAAACCTACCCAGGGGGTTTTCAGTGCATACCATATGCACGCAAAAAACATTTTTGCCGTATAAATGCCACGAGAAATGACAATCTTGGTATAGATCATGAGACTGTGTTGGTTTCTCCACTCATAACATTCCCAAATGCATCAATATAGGTAGACGACTAACAGCGATCATCAGAAGAGGCTTTCTGAGATGATTTTGATGATAGTCACAGTAAATTTGTATTGGGACTCACTGTGGGTCCATTAGTCACATGCTTTATGGAAAAACACAGGAACATCGGAGATAACAGAGCTGATGATATCTCCTAAAACAATTCTATCCAGCCAGCTTCCAGTTAATGAATCATAATGGAACATTTAATAGCTCGAAATTGTTATGTGGTTCGCTCACTAAGTAATTTATGAGTTAAAACTTAAGCGCTTTAGTGGTGTGCAACATCCCAGTTAGCAGGGAATTTTCCCATAATTTTCACTAACGTTCATTAAAAGTTATGTAAATATTAGGATGTCCAAATGTTCTTAAAATAATGTTTATGGAACATTCTCATAATGTACATCTCGTAACACATCTCCCTGGCTTGATTCACATTTACTAGCCTACACTAAACTGTAGTCCAAACATGGAATCGCACACACTTAATGACTAGCTGAAACATTCTAGACTGAACTGAACACACTTACATACTGTTTCCAACGACTGCAGCAGATTTTAAACACTGACTGTGAACACAGACTGAACACAACTGACTCTGACTCGGCGCGTTTGGGTAGTGTGTCCCCGGCATTAAAGTAAAGTCTTTTTTCTGTTATTTTGATAATTTCCAATATTTCATGCATGGTTTGGAAATACATGTTGACTGGAAGGTTTGATATATCGCAGTACAGTGGCTCAAGTGGGTAGCACTGTCTCCTCACAGCAAGAAGAGTCCCAGTAGAGCCAAAAGGCCTTTCTGTGCAGTTTCCATGTTCTCCCTGTGTCAGTGCGGGTTTCCTTCAGGTACTTCAATTTCCCCCTCAATTCAAAGACATGCACCACCCTAAATTGGTGATAGTACATTGTCTGTGCCCTGTGATGGACTGGCCTAGGTGTTTCCCCCGTCTGTGGCTCGAGAAGACGGGATAGACCCCAACAACCTCTCAACCCTGGAGAGGATGAGCGGTGGAGAATGGATGGAAGAATAAAAGCAATGTTCCCAGGCGAATGTTTTGAGGATTTGTGCATAACCAAGAAAAAAACATTCTTTTTGAACGTCCAGAAAACATTCAGATATAATGTTTACCTAACATTTTCAAAATGACAGAAGTACGTTGCTCTAACATTCACATAAACCAAGAAAAAACTTTCTTATAAAAAAAATAGAAGTGTAGTAATTCAGCAGTAGACCAATGCTGATTTCTCCGCATGCCTTTCAGTGTTTACACAATCCTCATATCTCTAAAGGTATAACCCAGTCCCAGAGAGACTTACCGAAACAACTCACTTCCCCAAATACAAACAAACTGTGAAGAAGAGGCCTTTTGACCCAGCAGCATAACATGTGCTAACTGATAAGTTAAAGTGGGTAGATTATATACACCAGGTGAGACTGAAAAAAAAAATGCAGTAACTTTATTATCACAAAAACTCAATAAAGATGTTAGGAATTTGAAAAAAAAACTGTTTCTCTAAGGATATTTGTGGTGAAATTGTGTTAGGGTATTTGGGTCATCTACAACTGGATAACTGTTTTCTCTTTTACATATGCTAGTTTCTCATTTGCATAGCGTATTATTTAGCAAGTACATGTTTGTGATTTTTAAACTTTGAATTCATCAAAGAATCCTGGAAAAAAAATAATATTTCCACCACAATAATAAGCAGCAGAACCATTTTTAACATTTTGATCAGCAAATCAACATAGAATGGTTTCTGAAAGATCTGGAGTATTGGCTTCTGAAAAAGCAGCTTTGCCATCACAGGAATAAATTAGGCTACATTTAAAAAATAGGCTATATTTATTCAAATAGAAAACAGTTATTTTAGATTGAAATAATATTTCAAAATATTACGTTTTTTTTACTGTATATTTGATCTAATAATATAGCCTTTGTGAGAATAAGAGACGTCTATCGAAAACAAAAAAAAAATCTTACTGAGCCTAAACTTTTTAAACTGTTTAAAAAACTGTATGAAGTTTAAAATACACACTTAAACGACTAAAATTCTAAAAAAAACATGTTTTTATTTTAAAATGAATTGTACATCATAGACGAGACAAAACATGCCAGCCGGTACAACTGCTAATGTCACACTGAAGAAAAAAAGCCCTATTAAAAGAATCAAATTCTTGAAGGAAAATGTGTTCATATATAAATATATAATTTCATAATTAAAATTTTTATCTTGAATTTAAAAAAATAAATAAAGTAGGCTAGCTTGACCAGAAAAGCATGCATCTAATAATACTTACTCCGATTAAAGGCTTGTCAAGAGCAGCAGAAACATGTCATTTTTATTTTAAACTTATGGTATATGTCTTATGCTTAAGGAATGCTGCAAACCACTGTGGGCCTTGTCTTAACAAGTATCTCGGCGCTTGAAAGGAGTTAAGGCATGTCAACATAAGAGATCCCCAGTCGATGATGGTACTTTTGTGTGGACATATGTCATGATGAAAGATTCTTTCCCTCAAACCTTAAAGGTACTCCACCGTTTTTTGAAATATTAACTGTTATTCCCTAACTAAGACGAGTTGATACATACCTCTCTCGTCTCAGTGCGTGCACTCAATGGCTCGCGAGAGTGGCGAGACACTTTAGTACTTAACTTGGCCCAGTTCATTCATTGGGATCCAAGCAGAGAAGCGACCAAACACCACCACGTTTTCCCTATTTAAATAAAACTCGACCAAGAATGGTGACACAAAATAAAACGTTGCACTTTTCTAAGCGTGTAAAGTGGATAACTAGCCTAATATATGGCGGAATAGCTACCACAGCAAGTGCTTGGGAGCACTTTGACTCGGCGCAGTAATATCATCACTCCTGAAAAATCTTCTCCCTTTCCGGAGTGATGATATTTTATTGAGCCGAGTCCAGATATCAGATATATGGGCCAAGTCGAAGTGGTTTGATATGTACAAAAAGTACTAGGCTAACGCGTTTCCACAACACGTTTTCGTTCAGAGCCAGGGTGACCTGACTGAACGCAGCAGAAGTGGAGGAGCAGAGTAGTGAGAGGCGCTTGTCACTCACTGCCACCAGCAAGTTTAAAAGGCTGCATTGCAAATCCTCGTCGACACAAAAGTCCAAAAAATAGATAAGGAAACGTGACCAAAGA